GGTAATTCTTATTGTAAATGTTTCAGAATTATGTGTGACACATGGATAGTGAATTCTGGTACCTCATACCACATGACATACAATAAATCTCTTTTCCTTAAAACTAGACCTTTGTACTATCCTCTGTTAGTTGCACTTCCAAATGGTTATAAGGTCAAAGTGACAGAAATTGGCAGTGTTGCACTTACATCTCAAATCACCTTGCACAAAGTTCTCTTTGTCCCTGCTTTCAAGTTCAACCTCATTTCTGTCTCCTCTATGACTGCACATCTAAACTCTCTGATTGCCTTTACTGCTTATTCATGTCTACTGTAGGCCCCTTCAATGAAGAGGCCTCTAGTGATTGGTAAGATCAAGGGTGGTCTGTATCTCCTATGTTCTCACTGCTTGGATAATGGTAGCTCAATTTCTAATGTTTTTGTTACCTCTACTCTACTTCCTCATTGTGATATAAATACTCCACAGTGTCAATCTCTTTCACCTGTAAATAGTTCCACTGATAATAAGACATATTCTACTACTTTGCACTCTTCTAATTTTTTTCAATGCTCTTCTATACCTCATGATAATAATATAGATGTGTTGTGGCATAACAGACTTGGGCATGTCCCTTTTGTTTAGATGAAAAGCATTTCTAATATACCAGTCACCTTTTCTTCTAAACAATCTTTCCTTTGCCCCATTTGTCCCATGGCCAGGCAGTCTAGATTGTCCTTTTCTCGAAGATCCAACATTTTCACCAAGCCATTTGAGATCTTACATGTGGAACCGTGGGGTCCTTATCATGTCCCAACCAATAGAAATCAGAAATACTTCCTCACAATGGTGGATGACTATAGTAGAGCCACACAGACTCATCTACTAAGTTGCAAAAGCAATGCACTCCAAATCATCCAAGCCTTTGTATCTCTAATTGAAACACAATTTCAGAAGTCCATTCAGTCTATAAGGTCTGATAATGGACTGTAATTCACTTGCACGGAAGCTAATCTGTTTTTTCAATCCAAAAGTATACTTCATCAAAATACTTGTCCTTACACCCCCACAATAAAATGGGGTGGTAGAAAGAAAATATAAGTACCTTCTTTGAGACTGCCAGGGCCCTACTTTTCCAATTAAAATTGCCTTTGAAGTTTTGGGGAGAATGTATCCTTATTGCAACCTATCTTATAAACATGCTGCCCACTGTACTGCTCAAAAACAAGTGTCCTTTTGAACTTTTATACAATAAGAAACCATCATATTCACATCTAAGATCCTTTGGCTGCTTATGCTCTCCCACTGTGCCTAAAGTACATAGAGATAAACTTGAACCCAGGAGTGTTCCCCATATTTTTGTTGGATACCCTTTTAATAGCAGATGATACCACTCATAAAATTCATGTTTCCAGAGATATTGTTTTCCATAAAACTGTCTTTCCATTTGCTAGTCCACAGTCACATGTTGCTCCCTCTCCATACTCTGCTCCTTTCCTTGATTCTCTTGACATTACCAATACTCCACCTGTTGCTCATCCTGACTCCTTTCCTTCTCACTTTCCTGATTCCTTTCCTTCTCACTCTCCTGAGTTACAATCCTCCCCTACTTCTCCATATGTATCTCCACCACCTGAGCATGCACCTACACTTAGGAGATCTCAGAGAGAACATCACCTGCTTTCTCACCTACAAGACTATGTTTCCTCCATTCCCAAGTTAAGCTCAGACATTTCTGGTACCTCATCCTCCTCTCTTGCTGCTTTGTTTTCTTGCACCATCATATTCCACCTGAATCCCTAGTTCATGATAGTCATTCATTTGTGATGAATGTTTGCAATATTAATGAACCATGCTTATATGAGGAGGCAACACTTAACCCAGCTTGGCAGGATGCTATGACTCAAGAATTTGAGGCCCTGCATATCAATCATACATGGGATTTGGTTTCATTACCTCTAGGAAAGAAGGCCATTGGTTGTAGGTGGGTTTACAAGGTGAAACACAAAGCAGATGGAAGCATTGAAAGGTTCAAAGCAAGACTAGTAGTCAAGGGGTATACACAACAGGCAGATGTGGACTATACTGAAACTTTCTCACATGTTGTGAAATTAACTATAGTTAGGGTTCTCATTGCCACTGCAGTAAAGAGGAAGTGGATCATTTCTCAACTTGATGCCAATAACGCTTTCCTCCATGGGGACTTGCATGAGGAAGTCTACATGGAAATTCCCCCAGGTCTTGAGGTGTCTACTCCAGGTGTTGTTTGTAGACTGAACAAATCTCTCTATGGGTTGAAGCAAGCTAGTAGGCAATGATATGCCAAGCTAGCTGAGGCATTATACTCCAGAGGCTCTGTGCATTCCCTCCATGATTATTCCTTGTTTTGCAAAAGGACAGACTCCTCCACTATGTACATAACTGTCTATGTTGATGATGTGCTTATCACAGGGACAAATATGGAGGAGGTCAATCAGTTGAAAAATATCCTACATAATACTTTCAAAATCAAAGATTTGGGCAGATTACACTACTTTCTGGGCTTAAAGGTTCTTTACAAAACTGATGGGGTTCTCATCTCACAAAGGAAATTTGCTCTTGATCTCCTCAAAGAATATGACTATATGTCCTACAGTGGACTGTCCTCCCCCCTTGATCCTTCTGTTAATTTGCAGGCTAAGGTTGGTGCTATCTTGAAGTTAAGCTTGTTGGAAAGCTGAACTTCCTTACTAATACTAGGTTGGACATTGCTTATGGAGTCCAATACCTTAGCCAATTTATGCAGGACCCCACGGAACCTCATCTTAAGGCTGTTTTTCACTTGTTACGATATCTAAAAAGTGATCCTACACTGGGGATCTTCTTCTCTAATGATCCAGACTACACTATCCAAGCCTACTGTGACTCTGACTGGGTTGCTTGTCCAGACTCCAGAAGGTCCGTCAGTGGCTACATATTCTCTTGCGAGATAATCCCATAAGTTGAAAGTCCAAGAAACAAGAAACTGTCTCCCTTTCCTCAGCCAAGGCAGATTATAGATCTCTCCGAAAAGTTGTTGGTAAACTCACTTGGTTGTGCAGATTATTCGAGGAGCTAGCCGTTCCATTTCCAAAGCCTGTCACTGTCTTTTGTGATAGCCAATTAGCTCTCCGTATAGCTAGAAATCCTGTTTTCCATAAACGGACCAAGCACATTGAGGTGGATTACCATTTTGTACGAACCAAACTTCAAGAAGGGTTGATCAATTTGACTCATGTTCCTACCCATGCTCAATTGGCAGACATCCTCACCAAAGCCTTGATTGTAGTTAAACATTGTGGGGTTCTCAACAAGTTGTTAGTGCGGTCCTCACCTCCAACTTGAGGGGAGTATTGAACTATATGTATTTATGTATTAGTAGTGATTAGTTATAACTGATACAATAGTTAGTTAGAAGTAGTTATGGCATGAGGTAAGACACACGTGTGTCTATATATATATGTATATATCTGGAACCTTCTTCTAAGAATGAGAATATATAGTACATTTTCATCTCTCAAATATCTGTAACTCTCTCTCTCTCTCTCATATGTTTTCATGGAGATCATCACAGATCTCCATTGTTGCTCACCTTGAGCTCTTATCATCTTGACAGATATAATCTAACTAAAGTTCAATTATTGCTCTTTAAATCTTTTTTTGGGACTTTAAAAGAGACCGAAAGAGGAAAAAAGATATATTTCTTATATTGGTCTATTTCAATTCATGCTCTTTAAGGGCATGTACATCACACATTTTATCCAACTTACTCAAAGGCTGAATACATAGGCAGCCCCTTAAACTTGCACCTTTTTTTCACTTAGACACTTATACTAAGACTTGTACCTATTAGATACCTAATGTTGTAAAAAATGTATCTTTTAAACACTTTTTGCTGATGTGTAAAAACGCGTGGTTCTCACTTCTTCCTAAAGCGTAAAAGCATTAATTTTACACTATCCTACCAGAAACTCAAGTTCTTGCGAAAAAATAAAAATCCAACGATCATCTTTTTTAGCCTACATTCTTCTCTTCTCCGGCTATATCGACCAAATCAACTATTTTTTTCCCTTTTTCTTCAGATCTAGTTGCCGCTACCACCACCTCACTCGAAAAGCTTGTTCCTTTTTACCGCATTAATTTATGCAATTGTCTGAGTATATGCCATTCCTTCCAGAATTCGATGGTGATAACCATGTTGAGTTGATACCAATTGGAATATTTAGCTTCAAATACATCAGTCAACGCCAGCCACTATGAAAAATCCACAAAACATAACCTTGTTCCTCACCTTCTCTTTTTCTTCAACAAAAGAGAGCCTTGTTTTCCTCGCCTCTCTTTCTTCAACTAAAACAACTTACTCAATTTTGAGTTCTCCAGTAGACCTCTTCCCCAATTCTCGAGGAATTGAAGTATGTAGGCTTCTCTTCTTCAACGGCCAGTTGAGGACTGGTGGTGTATAACCTTAAGCATAATGTGGCAAATTGTACAACTCTATGAATGTGTGTCTGTTGTTTGCTTTGATCGATAAAAGAAGAGATCTAGTGTGTTTAGGACTCTGATTGTTTCGGTTTTATTTTTTATATATCTTTTCTTTGTTTGCTGACATGTAATATTTGTATTGGTTCTGGTTGTTAGGTCAGAATAGAGTGATATGCACGCACTTCATTTGGTTTGGAATTGTCATACTTGTGTTTAAATAACACATTTTGATAAAGATAAAGTGTTTAATAGGTACAAGCCTTAGTATAAGTGTCTAAGTAGAAAAAAGGTGCAAGTTTAAGTGCTGTCCATGTATTCAGCCTTGCTTAAAGCAATGTCCCATAAACTCGGTTGATGATTAGAGGGGTTTAAAACACTTATTTTGGATAAATTCAGATATATCAATTTGAAATACCGTGAAGTTGGGAGACCAGAAGCACGATTTCGTACTAAGTACGTGTGCCTATTTGACTTTTTCCAAAAGAGGTACTCTACTTGGTTAGTTGCCATTTAGCACGAAACGAGAAAAGGAAAAAGAATAAATAAAAAGGCAAAAAAGAAAAAGGCCGTGAAAAAAAGGTGAAAATAGGAGAAGAAAATATCAGGAATAGCCGTGAATCGAGAGAGCGGAGAATGTCGTCGGAACCACCGCCATTCCAAGAAGCTTCACGTTGTGATGTCTGCAGTTGCAGCTTCAACACTTTCCGGCGACGGGTACGTAATTCTTTCCGACATTTTCATCTTAGTATTTCTCTGTCACAACAGTTTGATCTGATGACTCAAGTTTTTGCAATTTTAGTAATTTGATTTCAGCGTAGCAGATTAGTTTTTCAGCCGATACTCATCTTTCAATTATGGTGGATTTTCTTTTCTTGGGCAAAAAAGCTGAGTTATCCCCTTTTCAGCAATAAGAGTTTCTTCTTCATCTTCTGACGCACTGTGATGACTGATGAATAGGTCAATGGAATGATGGTTTGGGAACTTATAATAATTTCTATAATGAAAAGTTCTGTAATGTACCCAATTTACCAGCAAATTGAGACAGTTACGAGTATTAATAATCAGCTTGTCAAAAAGCGTTTACCCAACCAAGAAGAAAGGGCGGATCAGCAAGGAGAATTGCAGGGAAGTTGGGGCTGTACTTTTAACGATTACTATTACTTTAGGGCGCACATATTAAGCGAATGCACGGCATAAGAAAAGGGAATGTCGAATTGAATTATGTCTTCTCGTTCTTGTAGTTGAGTTCAAGAGGCAAGATCAGTAGGTTGTTAAAAGGATAGTGTTGAGGTGACCTTTATTTTCTTTCTAGGGACATTGGATCTCATTGGTTAGTTGAAGTTTTCAAGGGTAAGATTGTTATTGTTAGGCGAGGAGTTACCTTTGAATGTAGAAAATGAAGGTCAAGGGCACCGGAAGAGTTTCAAAGGGCTGTATGGATATCTTCTACAACATCCTCAACTCCTACGCCTCAATTCCAAACTAGTTGTTCTCTACTATATGAATCCGCATTGACCATGTCTGTCATTTAAGCTCATCTTAGGCCAATATAACGCGTGCCTAGGTGAGCACGTCCGAATGATTTATTGTATTATGATGATTCGTCGTAAATTGGATAGTTTTTTGGTGGCTACCAGCCTATTACAACCCTCCTCCTCTATCCGGGTTTGGGACCTGCAATGTAAGCAAGCTCATGCAGGCAGAGTTGCTGTATGGATCTAAAATGCCAAAAGTTAGGTTGAAACTGGAATTGCTAGCAGTAACTCTAGTACATTGACACAACAAAAGGCTATCTTAGAAGCAAACTCACAGCTCCATCCCTTATAATTGAAAGAGCAGTAGCCATCGTGATTTTTGCTCATTTGACAAGTTGGACCTAAATGAATCCTTATAAAAAAAAAGGTGGACCTAAATGAATAGCTCATGATCCACCAGACCCATAAGATTGAGGTCAACCTATAGGATTGCATTTCCATGTCTCTATATCCCCTATTTTCAGTTCCATGCTTAGCAGATAAGTAGACTACTACTGAAGAAGGTCATCCTGTCTACAACAAGAAAAGAGGGAAGTGCCACGGATACTGTGAATATCTCTGCCTGCAGTTGTATTGTTAATGGTTTCAAATTTCTTCAAGCAAAAATCCCCTAACGTTAGTGACTATGACTATATGCTCTTTTGCTTGTGGTTCATGCATTAATTTAGCATCTGAAGTTACAAAGATTTGAAATATTATGCATATCAAGTTCTCTGGTTTGTTATTTGACTTGATATTCTGTTTTTGGTAATTCGTATCTTTCTGTTCCTGTCAGACATAGAGATTTCTTTTTTACTCCTTCGCTATGTCGTCCCTATTTTGAAGCCTTTTCTTAACACCTGCTCAATTAACCTGCAGGGACTTAGCAATGTTTCAGCTATTAGCTTAAGTTAGTTCAGATATTGTAATTACTTTCTAATCCAAAAAGACAAAAGAAAACCTAGTTCCGGATATTGTATCTGACTGCCTTAATCCTTGGGATTGTTTCTATAGCACCACTGCAGATGTTGCGGCCGAACATTGTGTGCTGAACATTCAGCAAATCAGATGGTGAGTTCTATTTGTTATATGCAGCTTTTCTTAAGCATCCTTTTTTTTTGGTTGGTTTACCTTTTTGCTTATGCGCAAAATTATTTCAGGCCTTACCACAATTTGGTCTTCACTCAAGTGTTAGAGTTTGTGCAGATTGTTTTAATAACTCCTCGCGGTAAATTTCTGCCATTATGACTAATGTAATATCTTGTACTTCTTAATATTGAAGGCAAAAAATCATTTAGTTTGCCAAATTCTGGAAGTGAGAGATGCTTTGACGCAAAGTCATGGGAAATTTACTCTTGAAATTCCATCTTCTCTCACCCAATTCAATCATGTTCTCCAATGTTTCAATCATTAAGAATTTTTTGTTTAGGAAGCAATATTATGCTCACATTAGCTCGTGGGTGATTGGTGACTAGTAAATGAAATACTAGAAATCTGCTACGCTTAAGTTAAGATAACACTTAAGTTTGATCATCAAAACTAAAAAAAATTAAAAAAGAAAAAACAAATACAAATGTTGAAGCCTTTATTGGTGCATCATTGTGAGAATAGAATCTAGTGACAGTAGTATCTGTTCTTACATTGTCAAAGAATGTAAAGAGTCGGAAACCATCTGGCGAGTTGCTTGCAGTTCCATCTGTATGAAGCACTTGGACTTGGGAAATAACAGGAACGGGAAAGTTTTGGGAAGTATGCCTTCTTGGCTCTGTTTGGTTAAAGATTGATCCAAGGATCATCATATTTCAGTACTGCAATATGTTAGAAGGGTATATTTTTGTCATCTTTGAGGTGTGAGGCCATTGATTTATTCATCTGTACCTCATTGAATTTTTTTTTATGAGATTGAAGGGTTATTCAGATATATCTGTTGTTGATAGTCTGAGGTGAAAATTATCTTCCTAAATACAGCATGCTGTTGTTCTCCTTATACATCATTTAATACAATTTCTAATTACAATCATCTTTATTCTGCTTGAGGAAACTAAAAAGTCTTACATCCTATTACTAACTCATCTTAGTAGACCCATTGGAGATGGCATGGTAGCTTCTTCAGATGAAGTCAGTGCCCTGAAAGATTCATTTTCAGCTTTAGATGTCGGTGCCGTTGCAGATATCAAAACTGAAGATACTGTCAAGCAAACTCCTGCGGTAGACATCGCAGAATGCAAATGTGGGATGCCTTTGTGTATATGTCAAGTCACAGCTACACCAACAACATCCGTCACTCCACAGGAAAGGACATATTTACTGGCCTTTAAATGCTTTTTGAGCAAATGGCATTCCCTTACATTTTCTTTTCATTCCAGCAGAGCAAAACTATGCCAAATTCGATAGTAAACACAAATCCAAAGCCAAAGAAGGAAAATAGAATTCCAACAAGTAGAGGTTCAACATCAAACAACAAGCAAGGGTATGTATATGATGTATCTAGTTGTCCTTTTGGAAAAATGTGTCCAATCTTTTTTCTTCAAAAACAGATTTGCTTTTCTTTATAGCCGTTGTAACTTGTAACTGTGTGAGATTGAGCCAACTAATGTTATTCGTCCCAGAAGCATTGCCATTAAATGTGTCATTGAAGACACTCGCCTGGGACTGGCTCAAACACAGACTCAATGGATAAAGACGTGTGTATGTCAAGGAAGACAATAGATCTAATGAGAAAGAAAATATTACTATCCTCCATGAAGGAAACATTACCTATATATTAAACATTAGGAAAACTAAATAAACCCGAGTTTTGACCTTCTCAATGTGCTTAATTCTTCTATTCTAACCCTTAAAAGGCAAGGAACCATGCTCTTCAGAAATTCCCATGCCTACTAATTGGATACAAAAGGTTCAACATTCACCTTAAATCTTACATGCAATAAAAAACAGGACATTCTTGGACAAAGGGAGTAAATGATTTCATTTTAAATGCTCTTCACAAGAAAACATTAGCTGCATTTTTGTTCGAGTCGTTACTTCTTTTAGTGACTCTTTCTGTTGTTGGTTTCTAATTGATTTAGGATGTAGCTTATATTAATTTTTTCTTTAATAAGTGAAGTCTTGATTGACTAATGTTAGAATCCTTGTTTTGTCGGAACTAGAATTTTGGGTTGTCATTTCGGAAAACCCTAGGTGCTTGGGATGTCATTTTTGTATAATCACAGGTGCTCTAGCATGTTGTTAACCTCTTACTATGTGATATGTATCTCTTTTGACTCTTAAATTCTTCTAAATAACTCAGAGTGCTTGTTTGGTTCAAGGAATTGATAAAGCAGATAGGTCATCCCTAAAGGAATTATCCTCGAATTGTGTGCTTTATTTATGCAACATAAAGCTTCAAATACATGTCGTAGTCTATTACAGATCCCTTTTGATCCTTGGTTTTATCGGATAAAGGCCTGAGTAAAACTGGAATTCATCAGAATATTCATTAATTATAATCAGCGAACAACAACGCCTATGTCTCAGTCGCCAACTGGTTGATGTCGGTTATGCGTTTCGTTAATTTTCTCAATAGTCCTTTGTAATCCTAAATTTAATATAGTTATATATTTGTTTTGAGGTTTTATGTATATATAACAACTATATAACTCAATTTAAACCGACTCATTACTGTTAAATACTACTCGCTCCATTCCAATTTTTGTGTTTCGTTTGTTTAAGCCACGAATATTAAGGTAAGAATTAGAGTTCTATTATATTTAAGCTAAAGGGGTCACATAGTGTGTCAAATGCTTTGTGGTGTATCGAACCTACGGCCAATAGGTCGCACTGGAGCTACTCGGCTGTTACGCCAAAACTTGCCCACTATTATATTTATTTAAATAGAAGTGGGTTCAAATTTAGAGATGAAGAGAACTTTAGATGTTGTGCTTTGCTTTAGCTGAGGGTCTACCAGAAACAACCTCTCCAACAGCCTCTCCACCTTCGCAAGGTAGGGGTAAGGCTGCATACACACTATCCTCCCTAGACCCCACTTGTGGGATTACACCGGGGCGGTTGTTGTTGTTAAAGAGAACTTTAGACATTGTTTAGATGACTTGGATTCTAAAGTGTCTTTTTGGTACTAGATAATGAAAAGGTTTAAGAAGTGCCGTAGAAAGTCCCTTTATGAGAACATGGACAAAAATATACTCGAACAAATGGTGGGAGTAATTAACATTTAAATAGCAATTTTAAATGCATATTTAGCGCCATGCATCATTTTTAGTGAACTTGCATGAAAGATTAGCAAAATAAAGTAAAGTAAAGCACCCAAAGAGCTATGTTATTCGGACTCTTCAAAAATGTTGTTGGGTGCGAGTCAGATCCTTCAAATTTAGTGCATATTTGGAGGATCCGACACGGGTGCGGCAACACTTTTGGAGAGTCCGAGCAACATAGCCCAAGAGTGTTTGCCTGGTGGTCAATAAAGTGGGGAACCATGAAGTCTCAAGTTCAAATCCCAGTGGAGACAAAACTGCTAGGTGATTTCTTCTCATCTGCCCAAATCTTGGTGGACAATGTTCAGTGTTGTAAAAGGCGCGCTTAAGCCCTGAAGCGAGGCTCAAAATATGTTGAGCGCTTTGCCTCGCTTTGTGGGCGCTTCAGTATCGTATCAAGGCTCTAAGACATACTTTTACTTGCCAACGGGCGTAATCCTGAAAAGGCGACACTAAATAATTGATATTTAACTTTATCGTAATCTTTTTTTTTCAATTTCTTTGTCCATATATTTGTTATTCATGCTTATAATTATTGTTCTTAGACTACATATGCATATTTTTACTTTTTCTCCAGTTGTGCCTTTTTTTATTAAAGCCCATCATGCTTTATTTGCGCTTAAAGCCCCAAATGACCTTAGAGCTTTTTTGCGCTTTTCGCCTTTGATAACACTGACAATGTTACCCTGTACCTGTTCTGGTGGGAGGGAGGAGGTACCCGATGAAATTAGTTGAAGTATGTGCAATCTGACCCGGCCACGAGCGTCGCCAAAAAACAACAGCAACAATACAAGTGGGGGTTGGCTATATGAATTCTCACTTATATTTAAGCTCAACTTATGTCATCATACCACCACATCCAAAAAAAAAAAATTAGCTTGAAGGTATTATTGTTGCTTGTGAAATCAAATCAAGGCCGTGTTGTTCTTTTAGACTCTTCTATGATGAGGCTTTCTTGGCTGGATAGTTAATTCCACCTTCCCTCATGGTTAAATAGTCTCATTTTTGAGTGCCGCAATCACTGTATGAGTTACTCCATTTTGTAATAAAACTCCAAGGAGTTTGATTAGTATTCTCTGTAGAGTGAATTGTGTATAAGCCCCAGAAAACTTTAACCCCAAAGTTCTAGAGTAAGTTCCAAATATAAAGTCACTTTAACATATAACTATCAAATTATTTCCTCCCTTCTTTTGAGTGTCTAAACAAGAGAGAAATTGTTTTCTGTTCAACTTTTGTTATTTTCTATTTAAACCAGACACGAGGAAGGAGAATTTATTTGCAGACTTCCCCTTTATATTTTCCCACTTTCACTTCCTTATTTTCCTTTTTCTACCTTTAACTTAAGTTAGTTTATAAGAAGTTTTGTTCAAAATCCATAACCTTTGGTGCTCTCCCATATCTTACCTGCGTGGCCTACGAATTTAATAACAGAACTAACTAAGCAAATCTTTTTGCAGTACAACTTTCAATACTGGTCCAGCTACCAGCTGCAGTATGGAGACAATGTCAGCGGATTACGAAGTCAGTGGGGAGGTATTGTTTTTAACCTTGGTTTTCCAGTGGTGACCTTGAATTTCTCATAGGGAGTAGATCTTCAAATTAGGTTAAGTAGGCTGGTTCTGGGGAAATTGAAACATTGTAGGAAGGTGTAGGTAAAGAAGCAGGGAAGCATAAAATTTGACACCTAGTCATTTCATAGATGTTTGAAGCCAAATGATTTATCAACCGTTTAGTTACATGGAACACAAGGTAACTGTAAAAACATAGAAAACAAATGACAAAATGGGTCTTAAATAGTAGCGAAGCTTATTGGGAACATAGTGTCGTAAACGCACTTTAACATTGCTAGATTGTGAACAGTAGATTGTGTGCTTGAGAAAGTCAAGATTTTCTCCTTCATTTTCCCTTGAATGATAGGTTGTGCGGGCCAATTTTTGTGTAGGGTTTAAGAGAAGCAATAAAAAATGGTGATGTCAGTGCGGCAAAGAAGCTTCTAAGTCAGGTAATGTTTACTCTCTCTCTCTCTCTCTCTTTGATAAGATAGGGTAGTTTACTTTCTTTCTCTTGTATTTCAATATGGCATTTTCAGGCTTACTTTTTTATCTCAATTTTATCAGGGAGTTGATGCAAATTACCTTGACAAGCAAGGATCATCATTGTTACATCTGGTACTCTTTATCTTATACTCAACTACATGATTGTACAATTAGCATATAATATCTCTATTTTAGAGGGTGACAATTATAATTGACATTGCTAATGTAGGCGGCGGTATTCAATCGAACTGAAATAGCATTTTCCCTCATGGAGAGTGGAGCTAGTTTGTACTGCAAAAATTCACAAGGTAAAAAGATATCTAAAGCATAGAACTCTTTTAGTCTAGTTGGAGCTGCAAGATAGCATCCAGAATGTGATAATAGTGGAAATGAGGTTGAGGTAGTTGTTTCTATATTTGTAAAGAGCATCATTTAAACCAATATTTGATCTGCTCCTGTTAAAAGAGTATACTTTGTCATGCTGTTTATTGTGTGCTATGCAAATATTCTGGTTCCTTATATATATATAACCGAGAAATCTCCTGTGAGTTAGCTGGCCCAACCCCAGTTGGCGCACAGGTTGGGGACTTGGGAAATGCTAATATTCTGGTTCTTAACAGTCTCAAAATCTTTTGGTGAATCTGTTTGTCATTCCGATGATCATTTCTATCTATTGGTGTTGATTTTCAATAAGGTGAAACACCACTGGATTGTGCTCCTGCCACATTGCAATTCAAGATGAAAAAGAAGATGGAAGAGAGTGGGCAGTAACTTTTCATTCGAAAGCAACACTTCTCCAAATCAGGCTACAAGAAGTTCAAAGAAGGGTGATCTCTAACCTATTTGTGTGTCATATCTTTGTACCCTAGCAAACGGCTACAATAAGATGTCAGCAGTTTCAAGGAAGTAATCTTTGTCCCTTTAATGTGTGTCATATATTTGTACCTACGCAATAGATGACTCAGTTTCAGTTTCTTGGTTAATCTCTTATTGGTGTTACCTTAAGTTTACGACTGCTGGGAGTGGTTCTTTTCAAAATTATCCTCCACCAACCAGATCAAGATTTCCTAGTTTTCTATTTCTGTTTCTTTTTCTTTTTGTGCTTTTGCCTTTTCTCTATGTGCAGTAGTGCATTTCAATTGTTGCAAGACGAAAAAGAGCACGGGGAAAAACCATAGGTATTGTGGTCGTTTTAATGAATAAATACTTGCATAATTTGTCTCAATTACCTATCAGTTTTCCCTTTAAAGCAAAATGTAATTGTATGGCGTATTTACCGTGTTGTAGTAACACTACCCGTTACTTGTAAATAAGACCCAATTGATCTGGATAGTTATGGTCTAGTTTTAAATTGGAGGTTGTGAAATTGAATTACACTCAGCAACGAGATATCATGGCCTTCAAGAGTTTTGAGTTATTTGCATAGTTTTGAATATCTACTAAATTCAGATGGTTAGCTAAGGCCTAAGTTTAAGATTGTCCTCTACTCAATTCTGTATTAGGAATGGCCCTTCTATGCAATAATTAACACCTAAAAGATCTTTCTAAATTTCTGTGTCACTAGAAATCCCATATTGCCAACATCAAATATTAGAATATCTATGTGATTGTACTTTCATGAAAAGGCAAAGATACATTTGCTTTTGGTAGAATATATAGATGGGGGAATGCAGAAATACCTGAATTTGGGGCAATGGTTTAAATTCTACTCTAAGTTTAATATTTTAGTTATTTATTTATTTATTTTGCAAATTTACTCACTTCAGACACAAATTCAAATGTATGCGACTGAAATAGCATAATTCGTGTTAGGATTAGGAAATTCATCGGCAGCGTTAAGGAAAGAGGAAGAAAGGCAATGAAACGAATTAGGAAAGTGGCACTAGGGTTCGGATAGAAGGGGTTTAGTTTAGCTGATAAGACAGGATACGTGGCACAAGGAGATAAAACTAGTTAGAGATCAACGGTTGTGGTTGTTAGAGCTGGGAATGAATAACAACTCCAACTGGGAGCTGAGGTAGTTATGGTATCTGGTATATTCCTTTCTCAACTACCCTCTTCTCTCCCGATTCTCTTTTCTCCTTCTTCCTTCTTAATAACGTTCAAATCCACTCCTCAAAGAGTAATTGTATACGGTCGCATGCAATATAATTTATCCAACTATGAGTCGGGATCGAATCCTAGAGGGAACAATATGTAGGCGATTAGGCAAGTAAGAGAATTGTCGCTTTTTATGCTAAGCAAAACACTATTAGGGGTTTTTGAGAAAAGCTTATAACTAATACGGAAATATAAACTAAACTAGAAAGCAAGTAAAATGATCAATGACTACAAACATGTATACAAGGGGAATGACACTCAAGTAACAATCCAATGTATTTCACGATTTTACAAATGTGAGCGAGTTTATGTTATTTACCCTCGGATATCAATTCTATATTAGCTTCTTACGAAGACTAACAAGACTTTCTAATGGAATTATCCCTAAAATAATTAAGGGAATTAAGTACACCCGAATATGACTACAAGTAGTTCAATCCTATCCCTAGGTAGAATCTATAAAATAAGGGTTAACGCCTCAATTTCTTGTTAATTTATCTTTTCAAACCCCGATTTTGCCTTTTTCAAGATTAATTCGAAGTTAAAGGCGAGTCCTAGGGTTAGCTAATCCCTTTGGAAATATTAAAGAACAAGAATAATTTAAGAAACAATTAACTCACTTCATAATTAATAAAAAACATTCAATACATAAGCATAACAAGAGATTTAATTCAAACTTTAATAATGAATATTTTCTTAAACAAGATTCAAGTAATGGAATAAAATACTATACACTTAGATATTCAATACAAAGTAAGGAATTGAAGAAATGAGTAAAAAGGGTAAGAAAATCTCATCCAAAGTCTTCAAATTTTCAACTCCCAAGTGTGGTTTGAGAACCTTATCTCTCCAAAACTTGTATTTTCTGCCAAAGACATGTTTTCAAGAAGCTAGACTGAATTTTATGTGGGTTTAATATCAAAAAAATATAAAATATCGAATTTATCCAGGCCAGAAGCTCGTGGCTCGCATTTGCGAACTTAAACTTTTCTATGGACCATCGCAATTGCGACGCAGAGGTTCGCATTTGCGAACTTGGCCTTTACTGTGGTCTATCACAATTGCAATGTATATGTCTGCATTTGCGACCCCTGACTTCTTCTCTCGCCTTCGCTATTGTGATCCAGGGTTCGTATTTGTGAACTTTGGCTGGTCTGGTTGACTTTGCATTTGCGAGAATCTCTTCGCATTTGCGAACTTTGACTGGTCTGGTTGACTTTGCAAATGCGAAGCCCCGTTCGCATTTGCGACATCTGAGGCTGTTTTTCATGATTTCTTCCTTTACTTTTTTTTTTTGCTCAATTCCATTTCGTTTGATCTCTATTCTCTTCATGACCCATTGTATCTGAAATAATAGCGATACATACCATAAATAACTTCATTTTAGAAATAAAAGATACAAAAACTATAAGCAAAGAGACTAGATTAAGTCACTTGTCAACATAACTCTTCTCTACTTCTCTCTCACAAGAACACTATTGTAGAATCCACCATTGTTGTGAAGAAGTTTGCTTTCATTTAGTCTGATTTGTGAATGCAACTTCGATTGATTCTAATAAAAGTCCTTGATTTGCCTTTATTCTCTTCTCTTTCAATTCAAGTATATTACAAATGGTATTGAGATGTCACAGTCCAAAAATTCCAACTATGGGGTCGTAATGGCATCTAACACCGCTTGCTAGGCAAGCCAACATTAGCAACAATAAATAAAACAGTTTAACAACTATAAACATCATAATAAGGATAAAGAGGGAAATCTCATAAAATGTATAATAAAGTTACAACCAATGATGTCTAAAACTATTCCTAAAATTTAGTGTAACAAGTACATGAGCCACTAGAAGTACTAAACACAAGTCTGCAAAGAAAAGTACAATAATGTCTGGTACAATAAATAGTAAGTAGAGATAGGAAGGGGACTCCAGGACTACAAACTCCAAGTAGCACTACCTCAAGTCTCCTAGAAAAGGTCTGAGCAAATCACCTCTGAACGCTGCTGGAACCAACACCGGAATCTGCACAAGAAGTGCAGAAGTATTCTATGAGTACAACCGACCCCATGTACTCAGTAAGTATCGAGCCTAACCTTGACAAGGTAGTGACGAAACTATGACAAGACACTCATTGTAAATTCGTATGAGTAATAGGCAGAAAAGCAATAGTAATATAGAGAAACGAGTAAAAACATAATGAACAAAATAAGATAATAGAGAATAGAGGGCCCCATAATATCATCACATCACAATCTTATAACACAAAACTGTAGCGGAGCATAATAACCAAGAATAACTGAAAAATATTATTTTCGTTGCGGCGCGCAACTCGATCCCAATTTCAATATGCACAAATATTAATATCGTTGCGGCATGCAACCCGATTCCAATATTAATAACAATATTGTTGGGGCGTGCAACCTGATCCCAATATATCAGTTCATTTGAAAATGCTTAGTAACAATTAACGTAGCAAGTCTCACAACACAATATTAAAGGGATCTAGAATGCATATATTCACCAAGGAAGTACGAGCACGAACAAAGAAGGTCAAATACTGCAATATCTAGGAACTAGCCTCACAACATATACCAACAAGACTTAAACAAGTTGTAACATGAGAATAATCTAAGGTCACACAATACAACATTACATAATAGAATAAAACAAGGAACAAGTAAAGACAATAAGGCAAATAAGGATATGAAGCAGGTAAAAGAATCTATCTAATAACAAGAAACGACATATAACAAGTAAAGGCATACACTGAATCAAAGCATAAAGCAAATAGAAGCACATAACAATTGAAAACAATTAACAAGTGAAGACATATATGTTTCAAGAAAATATGTATCAAATAAGGGCACATAATAAAGAAAAACACGACTTTCCATTTAGAACGAGCCTCCAAACCACCCAAATCTAGTCAAATATTATTCAAATAAGTCAAAACAAGCTTTAGAAACTACCCTCGTAAAAAAGTTCGATCTTTAACATATTTGGAAATGTCAATATAAAGTCAACTCCGGCCCATGTGGTCGAAGTCCGAAATTAAGACCAAATCCCGATTACCCATTTCCCTCCGAGTCCAAATATGTGATATGTTTCGAGATTCGACCTCAAATCGAGGTCTAAGTCTCTAAAATATAAAATCCTAGATTTCTACTTAAAACTCCTATTTCTACTCTGTGAAGTCTTAGATTTAATAGTGTAAATTCATGAAAAAGTAATCGAAATTAAACAGAAACAAGTTAAAGTTACTAACTTATGAAGTTGGGAACAAATTAATCTCTAAAATCGCCTCTATGTGGAGTCTAGGTCTCAAAGATGGAATAAAATGAGCTAAATCCCAAAATCCCAACGTTTTATCTAGCTGTAGGTATTATAATTGGGAACTCTTATTTTCAATTGCGATGTTCGCAAAAACTAACACCTAGTGGAAATGCGAACAGTCCCTAAGCCCCCTGATGTTACAAATGCATTCGCAATTGCGAAGGCTGGAACCTCTGCAAATGCGAACAAAGCTTCGCAAATGTGAACAAAGGTTCGCAAAAGCGAAACTACTCCTACTATGACCAGAGTCGCAAATGCGATAATTATCTCGCAAATGCCAAGGTAGACCCTCTCGCAAATACAAGCTAAGCTTCGGAAATGCGAAACTCTCCAGCTCCTACCCAGCATCGCAAATGTGAGCTAGCACTAGTAAATGCGAGGTTGGCATTTGCGAACAGACTCTCACAAATGCAAGGTCTGCAGCAATAGCAAATTTTAAATCCTAGCAAATCAGTCCGGAACTCATCCAAAACTCACCCGAGCCTCTGGGACTCTAATCCAAACATTCATACAAGTATAATAATGTAAGGCCCCATAAAATGTTACCTAGGACCCGAGGTTTCGTGGTGCCGAGGTAGGAAGCTCGCCACAGTATAAACTTTTTGGGTTGTACAGTGCGTTGGGGAGTTGGAAGAATAATTTTTGCAGAACA